GGGGGACAGAAGTCATATTTCCCCCTGTAGTTTTCCATCTTATATTTTGTGACCAGTGTAATAAAGCAACAGCCCCCATTTCTACTTTGATAAGGACTGTAATATAAGAGCATGTGATTAAAAGACAACCACCCCATTCAGCAGTGTATGAATCATTTTCACTAACGGATAAGTGTTTTTGATTGCAAGCTGTAATGTAGAGGACCTTCCCGCCAGCTGTTGCCATACTGAGTTTTTCAGCACCATTGTCTTATACGTGTTTCTTATATTTGTATGAACAGAATGCACTAATTAACTGTCCAAATAAAAAGCACAAAGGTAATAATGTCGATAAGCTGATGGAAGCAACCACAATGAAAATAATGCGAAGTTGTGTTTTCAACATACACCGTCTTCTGCAATCACTTCAAAAAAAAGCATGACAACTGAACGAATGTTTATAAGAGAACTATTATACTGAAATATAAAAACTTATATTTATCATTTTTAAAGAAAAAAAACTGTGTGTTTACAGAAAAATAGATTCAAAGCACATACTTGCTCTCCCTATTAGTATGCAAAGAGGAAAATTATACTGCTCAAGTCATGCTGCCATATCTTATTTGCCATCTTTCTGTTTGTTTGTTTTTTTTTCTCCCTTCCATTATATTTGTTGTGGTTACACTTTATTAGCTGGGATTGTGTTCGGTACTTTTAAGAGACCCTTCAAACGTATTTTTGAAATACTGATGTCAACCACCACCCACTTTATTTCCCTCCTTAAATTGATTTGTTTTTTTTCCCCCAGAACGAACACTGAACAATCACAAATCTTGCAGCAGAGATGCTTGATTGTTTTTCATAGTGATCTAAAGAAAACAACACCTGATTGCAGCAAACTAAAATATGTGTCCATCTTTTTATATTCAGTCTGGGACTAGAGTGTTCTGTTGTATCGTGTTTCACATTTCTCCAATTAACACTGACTGTTCTCAGATAACATCGTTTCACACTAATGCACAACGGCCCCGTTTATAACTCAGTGGGATACTATTTAAATACCTAAGATACAATTGCACAGCTTTGTTTTGCAATTCAATCCACGCCACTTGTCGATATATATTCACATTTGTTCATGGCTTTTTCATTTTAGCCACTGTGTATAAATTTAATATTGTCAGACAGTTATAGCCACTGAGGCCCGGTTGCATCCTGAGTTATCGATATATATATACATACAATGGCCATCATTTTCACTCCTTTCTCTCAGTCACTCAATATCTCGATCCAAATGTGCCTATTATATGGAAACATATCCAAATTCCCAGGTGTTATTCTGCCAGCAGCAGCAGGTCTCATGTTTAAAATGTACACACAGAAAATGTTGGCGATGATAAAAAAAAAAAAAAACTGTTGCAAGATTAGGTCCTTTTCTGATACACGCCGTCTCCGCCAGTGTTCTGTACTTTTTATACTTGCAGCTCTTCACTAATGATCTTTGAAGTAATGGAAGTCAACAGTGTCGCCAAGCCTTGTTGTATAATATTCAAAGTCAAGACTTGTTTACAATTCAACTGTGGCTATTTTACATTGCCTCATGGAAAAGTAAACATTCATGGATTTCATTAGGAAATGGGTTTATTTTTGTCCTGTTTAGCTTCTGTGCATTTTTTTTTTTGTCTTGTTTTGTACTTAAAAGGGGGTTTCATTGAATGACACTGGAGAACCAGCGTTTACAAAGATGTGTTGTTCTCGGAGAATGTGAAGCTCTGCTGGGTTTGCTTTTGTGTCTGGAACAAATGTGTTTACATATATCATGTTAGCTTCCTTTGTTAGCCGCTTACTGTTCTTTGACTCCCCACTGCTGTGGTGCAGAAAGAGTCCGATGAAACTGCAGAAACTCAGTCCAGAGGCACTGAACTCCTTCTGTCACAAGCCCACATCCATATTTGGCTTCTTCTTTTTTTTAAATCTTTTATAAGTGATGGCATTTCTCCCTCAGAAAGACAAAGCAGAGTTTAATCTGCTGCCAAATTCACTTGTTCATCAGAACTGCAATGAGGCTATTCAGTTATTTTTTACATAACCGCTCATAAATACCAGTATACCTCTACAGAAAGCCATTCATTCCAAAAGGAAATAAATAGTATACACTAAATATGCTTGTCATGAAATATATTTATGCATTATAAACTTAACTATGATTAACTTATAAATATCAAATATTTTATGTCGCAAGTAACCTTTTCAAATTATAATTTTCAAAGTGAGTCGGATTTTCTTCATTGCTCACAGAGAATTAATGAGGAAAAGTACATTTGGCAGGCGCGATGCTCGTTAAATCAGCATCGGCATGCGACTCGGGTACTGTGAGTGTGACTGCAAATGTCTGTGAGAAGAGACGAAACAAGAACACGTGAGCTGGAGGTGTCGTGCACACTTTTCAAACTTATCTCATGCAACACAAAATCAGTCAAAGGAGAACGAAATGGCTTTTTTTTGGCTGTTCAAGCTACTTTTTTTTTTTTTTTCCTGTCGTCTGTAACCTCTGCAAGATCCCCCCCAGGGAAATCTGAAAACTACTGTTCTCAGTAGTTAAAACTCTAAATATGAAAATGACACAGTAATGATACTTATGCAATTGCTAAACATTAAATGAAGAGTTGTTTATTTCCTCCCAACAACAGAATGATTTATTTTCTCTCAGTGGAATGTTTTTCCCTTCTTTTTGAAATTCCAACTCTAATTATGTACATAAGCCCCATATAAAGAATATTCAGTGCCAACATGTATTCAGTTGTTGAACTTGGCCTCCTTAGACAATGTGCATGCTTGTGCCAAAGTGGCAGAGAGTCTGGTAGTCTGCCCTCATTTCACCTGATTAGTGCATCTGCCACATGCTTCATTTGTTTCTTAGGATGTAATTTGGAGATAAAAGCCACCACCAGCATGTTGCATTTCTGGTTTCTTTCCATTCCGTTCCTATGAGACACATACTGTATGGGTTCTTCTTGCCACTGCTCCTCTTTTCTCCCAGGTTGTTTACATACCTCTCTTGGTCTCTGACTTGCATGCTGAATAATTTCCAAACCAGGTGTTGGACATGATATTGTCGTCATACTGTGGTTTGTGAAATGCTTTGTAATGGATTGCCTTAACTGAAGATTAATAAAATATTGACAACTTTGGCAGAATACAGGGTGAGTTTTTTTTGTGTCACTACGAGATGAAGCTGCTTTGTAAATACAAGTAATGAGCATGACACTCACATTATATTTTACGATAACCTTGTTAGTGAAGTCCAGTTTTCAGTCTCCTCTAAGCTCTGCTTTTAATCTCCTAACAAGTCCTGAGGGACAAATCTGATCTTTTAGCCGTTAAATGCTCCACTATGTTCTCCAAGTAGTTGTTAGCTGAAACCCAGAGAAACAACATTTTGTGAATCTGTTAGGACCTTATCTATCCATCCTCCTCTTCTTTCAGTCCACAGCTCTGCTCAGAGCAGAGAAAAGAAAACTTGCAGTTTGCCTCAAGTCCAACTAACAGTGAAACAAAGTGCATTGCTTAAAGTTGTCACACAATAATGATGCAAGAAGGAGAAAAAGGTTAAATTTAGTTGTCATTATTAAAGCTGGACATCATCCGATAGGGAAAAGTTTTTTTTTCCTCATTATTGAACATTACAAACATACAGCTGGTGGGCCTACGGTCACTATTCTTGTGTAGAACAATTATTGTATATTAATCAGTAGAGATATAAGGAAGTTAAGACAGTAAATGACACATAAAAAAGCAGTATTAACACTGACAATGTTGTCGCAGTTATCTGAACTAACATCCAAACAGAATGATTGGAAGCAATATCAGATTGGACTCAATAGAACTAAATCAGCCATTAAAAATATAACCACATACATTACAATTTCTGTTTTCCATTAGAGTGAAGTCTTCTATGTACAAGTTAAATTCAACCAGTAAAATATTAATGTTCAGGAAGGACTTAAAGAATCCGACTTTGTTAACGGGAAAGTCACCAACTACAAGTAAAATAGTTAATTCAAAGGTTTGTTAATGTAATCAAATTTAGTAATCAGACTGAGCGTGACTGTTCGAGCCTAGAAAGGCCAGTCTTCGTGTAAATAAGTGTACATATGTGCAGTAATTTACCAAAGATTAGGTGTATTGCTGCCGTCTCACATGAGCCAGCGCCTGTGTTAATGAAATCATGTACAGATCATTTACAGTCTACAGTGCAAATGAATAAACATCTGTGACACCTGTACAGGGCAAAACCAGACATTGTCCGCATGTTAGTACCACTGTAGTTCTGCAACATGATGTCAAAACTACTACTAACTTTGAGAACTGACACCAGGAGACAGTGGGCAGAGCCATGAAGTTGCTCATACAGTCCAAACTTTCCTGTCAACAGCTACTTTTCTCTGGCAGTGGCCACCACACATAACACA